CGTCGCCTGGCACGTCGTCTGGCACGTCGCCTTCGGGAGCCCATAAATAAAAAAGTTGCCTCGCATTGCCAGAGGCTCACTCCCAAGGCTCCGGCAATCTGTGTCGCCACAGCTTTCCACCATCTAGTTCCACACCAAGAAGGGGCGAGCTGCAGATGTTGCTGCGGCGGGTTCCAGGGCGGGCAAACAGCGAAACGCATAGAAGCCAGCAAATAAGGGCCTTAGATGGGCAGGGCTGGCCGGGGGGAGGGCTCAACGGGGCAGGCCGCGACCGACCAAAGTGCCTAACGTTGCCTGGAACGTCGCCTGGGACGTCGCCTTCGGAAGCCCCTAAGAAGAGACGAGGCAGGCCTCGGACAGGCTGGCTGTGGCTTATGTGCTCAATGCCTCCGCCACAGTGGCTTCTGCTGGAGGCAAAAAAGCCAACAGCCCACGGGGTGGTGGCTCGGCCAGACATGAACCGCCCACGGCTTGGTGGTAGTGCAGGACATGAAAGCAGAGGTAGAGATGCCAATGCCAGGACATGAAACCAGAGGTAGAGATGCCAATGCCAATGTTGCACCCTGCGGTGTCTCGGGCGCTTCCCCGCCTAGGCTTTGGCTAGGCCGGGGTCGGCGGATATAGATATATAGATATATATATATATATATATTCAGGAATATGTAGGATTCACAGCGACTATCGCTCTGACATCCATTTATTGAAACTAGCTGCCTGGCCTTTGCAATCCATGCAGCCTGCTCAGAACCCCCAAACTGTGAACCTCAACTAGGCCTCATTCTACTCCAAGTTGTAACAAACTGCCAACACTGCTGAATGTTTGTAGTTGGAGATGTAACTTCAAGGTCCAACTGGCCACGGGCTTCTTCTTTGCGCTAGAATTCCATGCAAAACGCACGAAAACACAATTCGAGAGAGAGCAAACCGGACCTGAAACTTGATTAAGTGAAGACTGTTGAAGTAGAGGAAGTATTCGGAAAGCGAGTACGACGACCACGGACAGATCTCTCGAAATGGAGGTTGGCCTTGGTCCCACTTGAGGGTGTTGCCAGATGTCTTTGCGGTGAAGAGGATCTTCCATCCGATTTGCGGCTTGGCATCAGAAACAAAATGCCCACCGGTCAAAGCGGTTAGGTATGAAAAGAGCGGTGTGAAACCATTGAAACTGAAATTTTGCAATGGTTGACCGCATGCACTAAGGACCCAACACATTTGCCAGGTACTCATGATCATGAGGCGCATCATTGCAGCTGTTCCGTAAACGGTTTTGGTCATCCCGCCGGCCCCTTGTGCTGGAGGTAGATCTGATTTGAACAGATGCTTTGTACTTGGAGAAGAATGACATGTAAAGCTTTGAGTGCACAGGCTGCCATTGCTGAAGCGCCTGGCCGACTTCCAGATGTCGGCTGTAGCCCGTGCACTGGTCGCCTCCTCCAACTGGAAAGCTGGACAAGCTGGGTGAAAACTAGGATTACAATAGACAGGTGATGCCAGGTCCTTGTGAGGTCGATGCTCCCACCTGCCTTTTGTATCCTTTTGTTACCTGCCACGTGGTTTTGTCACACCATGCATCAGGTCTTCCTTTCTTCCCTTTCTAAAACCCTTGTGAATTGTTGAACCTATAGTTTTATATAATGAGTTTTGATGGTTGTGTGCATTGTGTGCAGCAACTCGCTTCAAATTTTGTGGTGAGATGAGCATTTGCCCCTGTGGAGGAGAGATCGTTTTCGATCAAGGAGAATATTTTCATTCTTTAAATATAAAGTTGTTTTTGTGCAGCTGTGTCGAGCTCGCATTTGTATTTCTTGGGCCATTGGAGATGGGAGGAAGCTCACAGTTTTGTTCTGCGTATTTAGTTGTTGGTTCGTTGGATCGTCTATGTAGGGAGGCCTCTGTGGGAGCGTCCACATGCCAAACCTGAAACCGAGATGATTTTCTCATGCGAGGAGAACTTGATGCGGATAAGTTCTACATCATTGTGAAGGGTGGAGTTCGTATGAAGCTCAGAACCGAGTCTTGCAGAAATATGCTGCGACGATCCCACGATGGATTGGATCCGCAGGGCTCCATTTGGAGTTGGAAGATGTTGCGAGGGTAGGTCCACCATATGGCCAATGAGCCACATGTGACCTTCACCTGCTTGGTATCTTGGTGTTTTGAGTCCGCTGAGGTGTTGACCGGGATGGCACGCTGCTCCGGGAGCTGCGCAGGGGCGCCTGCTTCGGGGAGCGTGCGCTGCTCTTCAGCGAGCCCCGCTCGGCCAAGGCCCTGAGTGAATTCGGTTCGGGGCCAGATTATTTGGAACAGGTTGCATTTGCAAACTTTGGAATCTTTGTTTTGGTGAAACTTAAGAGATGCTGGACTGGGCCTTGTGGTAGGAAAGTTGGAGCATGATGAATTGTTGTGTGCCTGAATCTGTTGGCGCAAGGTTACTGTGACAGAACCAGACACGCAGTTCTGGAGTGCCGACCGTAACGTCTTTGAAAAGTATGTGACCAAAAATATGCGAGATGATGCTTGGTCAAATTCAAGTGCGCATAGAAGCAGTTGCCTGCAGAAATGTTGCCTTCAGTTCCATCCATGTTCCGCACTTACTCCTGGCTCGAAAGATGTTTCTGACGAGATGTCCAGCGTTATGTACATGGCAACAAAGGACTTGCGCGAACGTGCAAAGTTGCAAGACTGGACTCTATCCTTAAAGACTCTCAGGCTGGCAATTGTGAGGAAAATGCTGGGATTTTAAGTCGAGATACCAGTGTCCTCCAACAATGTACCGCAAGTATGACAGCTGCACACATGCTCTTCTCGCATTTACCTTTTGCTAGGCACGTCAGGAGCATTGGGGTGGGCTCCTTTGGCTCAGTGCGCATGGTGGAGCACGTGAAGACCGGCGCTCGTGGCTGGGCAAAAAAAGGATTTCTAAACATCGACTTCTGTAGTAAGGCACTTGTTACTACTAGTAAGGCACTTGTTACTACTAGTA